GTGCCTGCTTCTAATTTCCTTTGCTGACAACATGGCTGGGCTCATTGTGGTGGAGAAACCCACCCTACACGGCATGGGAAGAAGGCAAAGGAGAATCCCCTGGTTTTCAGGGTGAGTGGACAGTGAGATGGAATGAGAGCAGGCTGAATGGCAGATCCCAGAGGGGCAGTGGCACAGGATCTGGTTGGGGGCCTGTCACTGCTGGTGTCTCCAAGGTTCAATACTGTGCCTGGTGTTGTTCATCAGTGGATAAAGATTGGAGGAAGGGTAGATGCCTCCTCAACAGCCTTGCTGACCACACAGAGCTGGGAGGCGAGGCCAATAGCCCAGAGGGCTGGGCAGCCCTTCAAAGGGACCCAAACAGGCTGGAGAGATGGCAGAGAGCTGTCCAAAGCTCAGCAAAGAGAAATGCAGGTCCTGCATCTGGGGAGGAATAACCCTAGCCCCCAGTACAGGTTGGGGGTGACTGCAGAGCTTGACTTGTACCAGGATGACTTGAGAATAAGAGGAAGTTGAAGCAGTGTTTGGCTGGAGGGAAATTGGCCTGACAGGGGGACATGAAGCCATCAGAGGCACCCCCTCTGTCCTAAGCTGGCTGAGACACTTCATGTTTGTTTTCATAGCCTTACACAGGAAAAAAGACTAGTTATTGAGAGAAACCTGCCATATGCTGCTGCATATGGCTGAAACATCTGCATATGTACCCAGGGATCTGATATATGTGATGAGCTTCTGTTACAAATCTAACAGTGAAGAAATTATCTTTTGGAATTTTTTAAAATTCATTTTTTAAAACTGTCTCTAAGGCTCTTGGAAGGAAGTCAGCCTCCTGGCTTTGTCTTGGTGGGATTTCATGGAACTTGCAGGGTCCAAAGAACATAGAAGGTGCTTACAGTTGTTTGTTGAAGAGTTACCAATACTCCTTCCATCCCCAGGGATGTCTGAAGGCTGAGTGAGTTGTCCCAAACTTTTCCATTAGCCACTGCTGCCAAGCAAGCAGCAGAGAAGTGAAGTAAATTAAGGAATCTCCCATCCTGGAAAAAGTTGTTAGACGAAAAGGATTTTGGAAAATACCATATATGGGGTAACAAAGTGGTATTTGTCTAGTTCCCCCCTGAGCTAGAAGGATGCCATAGGGGTCTGAGACACAAAGTGCTTCTGGACACAGAGAGCTCTTCATGAGGAAGCAAAACAATGCAGCTCATTCAGTTGAACTTGTGGTGCAAAATTCTCAATCACATGTAAATTCCCCAGAACTTTTAAGGCAGAAGTCACAGAATCACAGAATCAATTAGGCTGGAAAAGAGCTCTAAGATGATCAAGTTCAGCTGATAATCCAGCACTGCCTTGCTCACCAACACACCCTGTCCCTCAGTTTCCCATGCAAAGTGTGTGGATCTTTGTTTTTTCCACTCTCAGCTGGAATCACTGAGCGCCTTTGTGTCTTTGAGCCCCTTAAACTTGCAGGTTTTGAATTGCTGCAGAGAAACTGCCTGTGGGCTCAGATGGGGTGAGGGGATGACAGGGAGATTGGAGGCATTTCCAGGCTCCTGAAATGCTCCACTTGTAGCAGTGCCCAGAGGGAAGCAATGAATGAAATCTCTTCATAATGAGGTTAGTCACTTCTTAATTCAGTATTAAAATGATCTGTTTCAATATTGAATCAACATTTAAGAAAAATCAATGAAAAATAGATTGTAAAACCATCTGATTTGTGGATGGTCTTAGGTGACAACTACTGAAAAATGAAAGAGCCCAGACTGAAGCCCTGTGCTTCAAAATAACACAAAGTAAGAAATAATATATCAGTATTGCCTGCAACCTGCTCTTTTGTACCAGAGATATAAGAACATAAGACTCCTACAGAAGGTTTCTTGGATGGCAAAAATTCCTAGATACTGCTTGAATTATGTGCCAATAGCTCAGCATTTGTGGAAGGTGTCATCTAATTAAACCAGAATTTTTAAGTACCAGACAGCATGAAGACCAGTAATAAGAGAGCAAAATCCATCTGTATTACAGATGGGATATGCAACTCTAATAGTATGGCTTTAGGCAATGTTTAATTGAGTAGTTAAATTATCTTTTCCAGACGGGAAAATAAATTACTGCTCATCTCTCCAATTTATTTTAGCTTCTCCACATTCTGTTTCCTGAGGGAGTGGTGAGGGAGTGTGGGACATCCCCAAATATGCCTGGGATGATTTATTCACCCCATGTACCATAATTTCCCCTTCAAGGAGAATGTCTTATATGCATGTGGAAGTTGGTGTGTATGTAACTGGCTCTATTCTGCTCTTTTCTTGCAAAGAATCTCTGCTAATCACTGTGCTGCTAATTACAGCTGTATGTTACATGCATGTGTTTGCGTGGTTTTAAGCATATTCTTTCTAAAAAGGCAAGAGAGAGGATTGCTGGTTCACCATCCTTCAGTCAAATCAGGAGTGTGTATCTCAGCAGAGCCATACAATTTGAAGTTTTTCCAAGCTTTGGGATAGCCTGAAAATCTTCACGTTGACTCACAGCATTTTGTAGAATGGGATTATTTGTGTCAAATATCCTGAGGACTGTTACTCCTCAGGTTGCCTAAACTCAACCAGATGAGCGGACAGCAATGCAGGATACCCTCTGTGGCACATAGGAGCAGAACTGAGAATGTTGGACCATTTCAGTTAATTAAGCATTGGATCCATGTGATTCCATCTGCCTGAATGGGTCAAACGTCTGCACACAGGCACAGCCATGCTAGAGTGTGCTGGCTTGTGTGCTTTATGCTGGCTGCAGGAGCACATCAGGTGTTCCATCTGGGGTGGAAGTTTCTGCCCCAAAGTCACTCCTTGGGAAGCCTGGAGCAGATCTGAGTTGATTGCTTGGGTTGGTACCTGACTCTGGCTGGGTTTTGTGACTGTGATGTTTTTGATCGAGTGCTCTGAGTCTAAAAACAAATTTCTCACATCTTGCAGAACTACAACCCAAATCCCCTATGATGTCTGAATATTTGTGAATGTAGTAACAGGTCTCTGTGCAAGGCAAACAGCTGGGCTCAGTCTGCCCCTTTCCAAACAAATCATGACTTTTTGGTCACATCCTAGCCATGGTCTTGGCTGTGAGCTGGATGAGATAACCATGTTCCCCTTGTGTGGCCCAAAACTACTGAAATTCTGGGGGACAGAGAAGGGTGAAACAGGTTTAAAAGCACTTGGGGAGGAAAGGCTCTGTAGTAGTGCAGGAGAATCTTGTTGCTATTGGAGTATTCGTACCTCTGAGAATAACTGATGGGACTAGAGAAAATTAATTTTAAAATTATAGGTAGTATATTTTTCCCGTTGGTAAAAGTTTTTTCTAGCAAAGTTAATAAAAGATTGTTTTAATGAATATGGATGCTTATTACCCAGAAGCTCCATGGGTTTTAGAAGATGCCCTCAGGGGAAAATGCTGACTGGAAGAGCTGAGGGTGTAAAGTTGATACCTCAAATGTTTCTCTGCAGACATGTTGAGTTCAGAGTGCTTCCAGGCTGTAGAGGTGCAGTGTCGTCAGTGTGAGCCCTGAAAACTCCTTTGCTTGGTATGAGCTGTCACAATTTTAAAAATGAAGGTGCACAGATGCTTTTTAGGCTGCCTGGAACACGAATCTAACACACACAGTTGTGAAAGGAATTTACTAGACACTGCTTTTCAATAAGCCTGTCTCTCTTAGACCAGTCCAAGTTTAGGGCTTTCAAGCAAACAGCCCTGAGGCACTGCTCTGTAAGGATGAAAGGCTTGTTCTCCACTCAGGACTGTGTGGAGCAGTAAATTCATGTTTTACTGCATGTCTCTGCACATCCATAAATGATTCCATATTGCAGTGCTTGGAGGGATCAGAGCATTATGTACCAACTCAGGCACTGATCCAGGCATGGGGCACGTGCAGCTCTCCCAGGGGACAAAGCCAGTTAGGAAAATACATGGAGCAAGTGGCTGAGGCTCCTGCAACCCCACCTCCATCTCCCCACAGTCAGGTGCTCACAGCTGCACCTTCCCCACTGCTGCAGTAATTTTTTTCCACATGGAGCATCACCAGTTCTCTCTGAGAACCTGAATCTGCCTTCTGCAAGTTGTGCCTGGTACCAAAACAAACTGCACAGTGCTGGCTTGCTGTTTGCTGCCCAGCCATCCACCTGGCATTGCCTGGGGGTTTGACCCACGTCTGAGCCAATTGTTACCTCCTAATTTGGGGTGATGAGTTTCTTAGGGTCAAAACATCACCTGAACAGAAAAGACAGTGTGATTTTAGAGTAGATGTACACCCAGGGCCTTGTTTCTCTATACTTACTCCTCAGTGTCCCCAGTTTAGCTCTTGCACCCTAACCTGAGTTCTCCTTTTCATTGTGCCGTCACATACCAGGTGAGAAGAAGAATGATGCTTCAGTTCATAACCCTGCCCTTCTTAGTGACACTTCAAAGAAATCAGTGTAGTGATACAAGTGATTTTATTGAGTTGTAGGACTGTATTTTATGCTCTGAAGGAATACTTACTTCACATAAAGGCTTTGACATTTTTATAGAAATGGCTATAACTGTGTTATTCTATATGAGGAAGAATTTATTAAGCCTCGATCTGGATCTCCTTTTATGTTATGCAAATGACTAATAACAACCCTTCTTCATTACCAGCTCAGTGCCCAGGCCAGAGTTATTAAATCCCCCCTTCCCTTTCTTCAGTCTGCATCTATCACGCTGCCACATTAGGCTGCAACACATCAGAATTCATAAAACCAGCCCAGACTTGTACAGGGATACAAGGCTGCAGAATTAAAGCCCAAGTTGCAGAGCACTGTGGGGTTTTGCCTGCTGTGAGAGGAGCAATCCAAGGTATTTTGGGACATGGTGTATGGAGTGAGGCATAACACCACCTTGTTTACTTGTGATTGTGAAAATTCACAACCACCGTACAGTGGGGGGGGGAAAGTTCATTTCCCTCACTAGCAGATAACACATCCTGCTTTTTGAATTTTCAGGAGTGGTTTCCACTGTGTTCCATCCAGATGTGCTACCATCCCCTACAACTCCCTGCTGTGATCTCATCTTGAAGCTGGCTACAGAGGGCTGGGGCGCCTGTGACACCAAGCAGGGCTGAGAAGAGGTTTCTGCATTCTGGGTGATGTTTAGACATTCACACTTGTAAGAATAATGTTATTTCTCAAAAAAATCTTTGAGTGTGTTGGAGATTAGTTTGGGTTTTGTGATATGCTAAAAGTTGGAAAGCAATAAAGACTTCATTGTGTAAAGTCAACAGACTAAGAAAGTAACCATGCCAGACTCATTTGATGCTAGATAGTTGGGGGCAGTCCCCTGGGAGGCAGACCTGGATTAAACTTTAAATGCACCTTTAGTAAAGCCCATTTACCCAGAAGTAAAGCCCATTTCTCCTCAGTCTGGGATGACTACACAACCACTGAAACTGGGTAAGTGGGCTGAGGACAATAGTTGCTTCTCTGGCTCTGCATGCTCTGAAAATACCAGCTGAATCAAGTGCTGTAGGTGAGAAAAGTGAAGGAAAACCTTGTTTTGTGGATATGGATGGGATTTTGTGTGGGCTAAACACCAACTGTTCAGCATCTTTTGTGGATGGATCTAGCCCAACTGATCAGAAGTGGCATGTGCTGAGTGAAAAAATACATATCTGAGGGAGTTCCTGGCCATCATTTTATGGATGAAAGGGAGAAGAAAAAGACATTCCTGTGAGATTAATTTTCTTAGCAGGGAAAAGTTACCAGTGTTCTTCACAGAGCAGTTTCAGGAGCTGTAATTATGTTTTTGTGTATCAAAGGAGAAGGGTGTTTACACCTGACCCAGCCTCTGGGTAGATGAGATGTTCTGTCTTGGGAAATTGTCACCTTCAGGGTGGCTGCCCTCACACAGCTAATGCAGAGCACAATTTTTCCCTGCAGTGTAGTTGTAGCAACCTGCCAGTGTTCCCCCAAGGCTACAGCAGTTTTCTCTGCTTCCATAGCCTTTAGGTCAGACTCTGGCCTGACAAAAAGTGCTAATGTGGATTCTCCAGAGCTCAGTCTGTGATTTCTGCTATATACCCTTGACTTCTTAAAGAAAGAAAAGTATTTGTATCCCAGCAAAACACATAATAAAAGTTATAATTTAGATATAATTTTAGGGTAATTACCTATAGTGAGGGTTGGATTGGTGTGAGCATCACCAGCTCCTGCTCTTTCTGAACTCATGTCCAGCCTTTTGTTGCACCCCTGGGCCCGCAGAAAGGGCTGTGATGTGCACCGGGGGTCCCAGTGCAAGGACAGCCATGTGCTGGGAGTTCTGCTGCTGCTGGCTCCTCACAGGTGCTGGTATGGTTTGAGCCTCTGTTCAGGTATCTCACAGCTCACTGATGAGCAGAGCAAGTAAAGACTACAAAGCTGCAGTCTGGAAATGAGAAATAGATGTTGAGTTATAAAATATTATGCAAGTAAACCAACAGCCCCCTTTAACAGCCAGAAATAAACTTCTTTGATGAGGGCTTAGCTATGATTCCTTCTATACTGAAATAATTTCAGAAAAGTGCAGCCAGCTTCTAGAAAAGGCTTAGAACATGGGATTTAATGAAACAGAGTTTAAAAACCCCCAGAGCCAGCCATCCTTCCAGGGCTGTGGGGTTGGCTGAGCTTTCCCAGCACCCCCAGGCAGATGTGGGGCTCAGCACAGAGATGCTGAACGCGGAGCCCGCAGCCGGGGGTCGCGGGCAGGGTGGGTGGGATGGTGCTGGATGGTGCCGGTGCCCATTCCCTGCTGTGCAGCTCCATCTAGGGGCTGCTCCTGCCCGGGAGCAGCCGGAGCCGCGCATCGCCGGGCAGGATCCCGGGAAATGGGCTGATCCCAGCAGGGACGTGCCGGGGATGCAGGAGCCCCAGCCTGTGCCATCTGTCCCACCGCTGCCCAGCAGGGCTGAGGGCAGCTCCGGAGAAGTCCTGGACCAGCAGGGACTGAGCCTGGTCAGTGCAAAAAGGATTTGGTGCTTTGGGCAGGCAGAGGTGAGTCCTCTTTGCGATGGCACTGGACACGAGGCTCTTGGAAACATCTACTTTTCATCGGGTGCCTTCTCGAGCTTAATCTGATTACATTTCTTCAGTGAAAGGGTGGTCAAACATTGGAAGAGGCTGGCCAGGAAAGTAATGGAATCACCATGCCTGGAAGTTAAAAAACCTGCAGATGTGGTGTGTGGGGACATGGTTTACTCAAGGACCTGGCAGTGTTGGGTTAATGGTTGGACTTGCTGGACTCAGAGGGTTCTTTCAACCTTAATGATTCTGCAATTCTGAATTAACTCAGGCTTACCTCGATTTAAGGCCAATTTGGTGCAATTCACTCTGGTTCACTGATCCTCATCCCTGTGGTGAAAGGTGCTGTGAACTCCAGGGCTGGGAGCAGGCTCAGGACCCTTGCAGTTCCCCCTCAGTGGAGGCATTGCTGACAGGGAGGAAGGGAAGAGCAGCAGCTGGGCTGGGAGAGCACAGCAGCCAGGCACCACCACGCCTCTGGGAGCTCAGGATGAGAGGGAGCTCTGCTGTCTTCTGGGCCACCTCTCTGCAAACAGTAGTGACCTACAGTTAATCAGATGGGATGGGATCTACAGTTAATAAGGCTTGGGATGCTGACAGGGCAAGTTTCTGGGATGGTTTTCTGTGTTGAGCTACACAGAAAGGACTTTGGTGAGGTTCTCTGAGGAGGACCTTGTTTTCCAGCTCCTCAGGAGGATCTGCATGGCTCATGTCCTATGAAGCCCCTCAGGTAGGAGGAAAGCACATGAACAATGTTGTGCTCTGGGAAGAAGTCAGGCATTGCAGCCTTCACATGTGACATGAAGGAGGGTAAAAAAAGAAGGCTGACCCTGTGGCATTATGCATTATCCTGTACAGAAGAGGTAAACCTAAAAGCATGCAGATTCTGAATGCCTAACATAGGGAAAGGACAGGGGAGCTCAAACCGTGAGTGAAGGTGCTCTGCTCCAGGCTTGCTGGGGATCTGATGAGTGGTAATATATGATCAAACACTAATTGCCTTCAAATAAGAGGAAAACCAGCTCCAGGCCAGCTGACAGAGAACCTGCTGGCTCCGTCTGATGCATATTCAGAAGCAGATCAGCAGTAGAGAGAGTCAGCACGTAAAGTCAAGACTCATAAGTATTTGCTAGTTAATGATCCCAGGGGAAAGATCACAGTTTTGCCACAGCAGTGAAAAGAACACCCTAATCATTAACTGAGTTTACAGGTAATCACAGTTACATCATACTTAGCCATTTTCTAATATATCAGAATCATTTTGAGGGGGGTCCTTCTAAGCTGAAGAAGAATTGGCCACAAAACCAGACTTTTCCTGCTCTGTATTCAACAGTCAACGTGTCTTAACATGACATTTCATTAAAGGCCAAATTTCTACTAACCTCAGCAGAAACAGTAACAAGCAAAGGGAAGACCAGCAAATGAAACATCTTCTGGCAATAAAGACGCAGCAAGATTCAATGAAATGTGAATATTATTTATTTAAAGAGTGATTGCCATATCATTGGTGGATGCCAGTAAAACAGGAACATCTGTCACCTGGCCTGGAGCTAATGCTCCCATGCTTATGTGCTGTCCTCCATGTCATCAGTGTATGACATTTGCTGCAGTCTTGAAGCAGAGCTTTTAGTGTTTTATATTTTCTAACATGCTTAATTAGCAGCTTTAGTAATTGCCTATAAATTTCACCATGAGGGGATGATAGAGCAGAGACCTTTCACACAGCACCAAATGGATAACTGCTGTGGGCCTGCCACTGCTGCTGAAGCAGCCAGTTCAGCTCTGGGTGAGGGAGAAGAAGGGGATGCAATCCTTTGGTGCAATGGTGAAAAGCCTGACAGAGGGAAAGTGGTGTTTTCTCATTTTCACACAGCGAACAGGAATGTGTGCATGTGTGGGGAGAGCAGTCATGGGGCAGAGACATGAGGTAATGGAAAGTTATGACAATGGAAAGAAGTAGAACCTTGCCCAGACTTCTGCACCTTCAGATCCTCCAAGGCTCTCTGTTCTCCAGCAGCTTCTCACAACACACAAGTACCTACATGCAGACTAATTAGAGCAGCACTGATGTGTTTTCCTGGAAAGACTGGAGGTAATAAGAAGTCTGAAAGGAGGGGCCACCCTGTCAAAAGGAAAGGCCGAGAAACACTGGTTTCTGCAGCTCACAGGGGGCTTTGCACCCTTCATGTCTCCCTGTGGCTGCATCCCATCCAGCCAGGGTCTGTGAAGCTGGGTTCTTCACTGCCTGCCAGAGAGCCCTACAAGAATCCATATCTGTACTTATGTTCACCAAGGGGTCTTTGGTAGCAGGCTTGAGTTTTTTGTCTCTTTGTTGCTAGCTTATGCAAAAAATCAGAAAAAAAATAAGCCTAAGTCCTGAAAACCTTCAAAAGCCTCAGCTGTTTACCCATGTGGGTTTTAAAGGCTGTAACTTGTGGCCCTGGTGGGGTCTCGGAGCAGCTTCAGGCAGGGTTTCCATATGCCTAAGAAGAGGATCACCAGTTTTGCTCTGCAGAGGAGCTGGTGACTTTCTCCAATCTTTTTGATATCTTCAGATGTGAAAATCTCCAAAGCTCCAGATTTTCATATTCCATATCCTTCCTGTAGGTAAAGACAAAACAGATCTCTATTTGCATTTTTAAGGCGTAGAAATGAACCATCCTCATAGATATTTGATTACACAGTTGAACAGCAACTGCTGCTCAGTGACACGTGCTGCACTGCCCATTTTCCCAGAGCAAAGCTGCCATGGTGCTTTGGATAAAGCAAAGCTCTTCACTGAGAGCCTTCCCTGAGTGAGGATGTTCTGTTGATTCGCTCTGCAGCATCTCCTGGTGACTTTCTCCTCCTTGTGCCTATGGGAAAGCTGGGCAAAGAGAAAAGCCTGACTTGCAGCTCTCCATCCTTCTTGGTGGAGAAAATATGAAGCATGCTACTCAGTAAATTAAATCTGTATATTCATAGTGTCCTTTGAGCAGTGTTCATTCACCCCAAAGCCAAACTAAGGCTCTGGCTGGATTCAGATGTCTTTTGGATGAGTACTGGATCCAAACAACTCTTGTCACTTTAGCTGACCTTGGAGAATTTTATTAGTTAGTGAAGATGCCAAATGCAAAGAACAAAACTGAAGCCACAATGTCAGTTAAAAATTAGGTACTCTATTAATTAAGTCTGGCTTACATACTAAGCTGCTGGTATCGTGTATGGCTATAAGCATATTACCATTCATTTTACTGGGGAATGCAAATGACATCACTGTAATACTGATGGATGGCTTCTTTGTAACAGGATGGTGGAAAAGCTGATAATTTTATAAAAGTATAAATTTTGTTGTGTGGATGGCCCAATGTGCTGGATCTCTGCAATGCTTTCCAGGACACAGGATGAACAGGGACTATTTTTTGTGTCAGCTGCAATGAAAATAAAATAGAGATTTTCAGTAGCAGTGGGAAGGGGAAGCAATTTTCATGTAACTGATGTTATGAAGCTCATCAGAAATTCTTTACTTTTAGGGCTGTTTCAACAATGAAATGACAGGTTTTTAAATCCTCCCACACAATGCAGTCATATAGTAGTATCACTAATTGTTATACTATAGTATTATTTACTCCCAAGCACTGTCTTTCTTATTGCTGGTTTAAAGTACATGTGTATGTATGTGTTCATATCTATCAATCTTCCTTCTAAACCAAAACTTCCTGCTTTCTGTCTGCAAACAGCATCACCCTGTTTTCATCTGACCCCAAGTGCTGAGGAAGTTGGTAATGTAACCATTTGGTCAACCTGACTGCCAGGAATTTTCCTCTACAACAAAAGGAAAGCCACATGGGCATGGCTATGACCCTGCCTCTGCAAAGGACTCTTTCCCTCCTATTCTCCACAAATATTGATCTGAAAGTCAAAGGGGAATGCTTCACTCCAGGCCCTACTGAAGAACTTATTGGAGACCCAAGTTTCTTTGTGCTTCTTCTCACCTGCAAGCAATGAACAGCTAAAGGCAATCCTGCTGCTGAGGACAATTCTGCTGCTGAGGGCATCTTTTGAAGGAAAAGGGCTGTCAGCCCAGAGCCAGCAGGCATAAAGTATTACAGTTCCCATTGCATTGAACAGCATCCTTTTATGAGCTGAGAGTATGCAAGCCATAAAATCCATGGATGTTTCTGTACTCTGTAAAATGTGTCTTTAGATCTGTCCAGGGAACAACAGCTTTTCCAGTTTATTTGTATGGGTGGAGCTGAGGAATGCATTCAATGTTTGTTGCACAATCCCCTGCTACTCTGGCTGAGGGATTGCTCTTCCCCTGCTACTCCCAGTGCACTGAACCCTCCCTGGTCTAGAGGTTAATGTGCCAACCCCAAAACCTGGTCTGGTGACCCAAGTTATTGCCTTGTTGCATTTGCTCTAGCCACTCTCTTGTTTCCAGTGGTGCCTGTGAGCTCAGAAAGAGAACAGGGATTTTTCTCTGTCTCCTGCTGGGGCCTGGTGCTGCCCAGCTGTCCCCACTCAGAGCCTGCAGAGCCCTGGCTGCCACAGGACAAATCCACTCCAGGAGCAAGCCAGAAAAGGGGGAATGGGCAGGGTGGCAGGTAGAGCTCATGCCTGTGCCTCAACCCTAATTGGTTTTCTAATTTAGGTTCAGGTACTAATCCTTAGAGAGTCAGATAAGGAAAATAAATACCAAACATAGAATAAATGCAGAAGACACCACATAACCCTAGATGAACAGTTTAGTGCTTCTGTGTTGGTATAGAAAAGTAGAAGCATCCCCAGGTTTTTATGGTTTTCCTCTAAGGGCAGTCCAATGTTCTGTCTTCATTGAATTTTTTTTTTCTTACAAAGTTTCTGTTGTAAACTAGAAAACAATCTCCCTTTTGTGACCCTTTTGGCTAAGGTGGAAAGTGTTTGTGGTCTGCCTCAACTAAAACAATAATGTGAAATTTTATCTAATCATCTAGTGTGAAATTAGTCAGATGTGACATTTTTGCCCATGTGATCAACTTGCAATCAAGGAACACACTTTCAGTAAATGAACAGGTAGAATTTCTCTAGATTTATTTGTCATTGCACTCTTCTATCCTGCTATGGTGTCAAATAAGTTAGAGAATTATCCACAGTCCACCCACCCCCTTTTTCTGCCCCACAAAGACAGTTGCATTTATGGCAAAAGGATAAATATAGCCAGAAGCTGAGAGTAATGAGCTGAGCCTTAGTCCATCCATTGGAAGATCCTTGAAGAGAATACTTTGATCCATAACAACATTCTTGGTGAGAAAAGAGGCACCACCTGAGTCTCTGCACAGCCAGAGCCAGGTGCTGGTTTGATGTTTTTGCGCTTAGATGGAAACAATCCCTCAGGGAAAGGATGCAATGAAAACAGCCCATGAACTAGTGGAATGAGGTCATGTCTAGAGAGCTCAAAAACAGAAATTGTAGCCATGCAATGTAAAGAATCCATTAGTTAAAGACCCCACTGAAACTCCTGTCATGCCTTACCAATACTAAGATTTCTTCTGTTTCAGGAGCTTTGTTGTGGTCTCCTTTAGGCTGTGAGTTTTCCTTTCATGTATTGGATATTCCTGCTAATGTCAAAGCTGATTGTCATGACTGTTTTTAAATTGTTTAATGGCCACTGTATTGGAGTTTAAATAATTCTGTACTGTATTGGGGTTTGTGGCAAGGCTTTGGTGAAGACACCAGAAGCCTCCCCTTTGTCAGACAAAGTCAATGTCACCTGGCAACAAAATGAACCCATCACTGGTTGAGGATGAGGCCATCAGAAACACCACCCCCATAAACACCACCCCCATCCTCACAAAAACCTTCTGCATTTTCTGCAGCTGACTACAGCCCAAATAGCACTGAGAAGGGGATATGTTTTCCATGCATTTGTGCTAACACACACTAGTTTTTGGAAAAGTACTCCTCCAAACCTGCAAAAAAATTTGACGCTACCCACTTTGTAGTCTGGGCAGGGGTATAGAATGTCTCGTACTGGTCAAACTGCATATAACTTGTAAGACTTTGTTTACTTTTGCCTCTACAGAAAAAGCATCTGTTTCCCTCAGTATGTGGAGTTTCACCTGAAATTGGTAAGTATTGGTGGACTTGTATCAGCTGTGGGAATGAAGCCTTTCCCACTCTGTTTATGAAGGTGCCACAGGTGTTACACAATGCACATGGAAGGCAGCCATGAAAGCTCTATGTTTTCATTGCAAAATGACAGCAATATTAGAGAGAGGTGAAAATTACTCTGTGATACTTCCAAGTTTCATTAGCTAATAGGGGTGTCTGAGCTCTTTGCTCTAACTTATCTTGGGCTGTGCAGTAACAGGGAGTACAGCCCTATAATGCCCAGATAAATGCTCTCTTTGCCAACCCAAGCATTGATGTCTCTGTGGTTCTATTCCCACAGAAGATGGGTGGCCAGCTGTGTAACATGCTCTGTGGTTGTTGGGCTTTCAACCTGGACTATCATGGAGAATTCCAGAGTTAGCCAATCCATCATCTCATCTTTCTTGAAACATCTTTTCTGGGGTGTAGAGGTTCACAGAACAGATAAATATTTATTTGTGTATCATCCTTTTTGATACATTACCATGGAAACAAGTAATCAAAAAAAATACTCTCAAGCAAGTGGGTTTGTTTTCAAATATTATCTTTTCAACTTTCACCTTTCCAGCTCTGCTCCTGTTGGGGGATTGGATTCTCTTTCTGCATCTGCCACTAGATGGTATTGCTTTAACAGGCACCTTCCTGCCTCTTGTGCACCCTTGAGACACAGACCCCAGAAAAGCAGGGGCTGCCTGTGTTTTTAATGTTCTTCAGGCATCTCCTAGCAAATGCTGAGGACACAGAATAGCAGATATTTAGTCCCACAGCTGGCAGCTTCTTGTGCTTGCAGCTCAGTTTCTGCTTAAGGACAAGTTTTATATTTGCTCTATAATCCAGAAGGTAAGAAAGGTCTTTGTTCATCCTGAAATTTCAGAATACCTGATGTATAAAATCTGAAGCAAACAGACAAAACTTTGTATCCTCCAAGTCTTTTAGCTAATACAAAAATGCAAATAAAAGGCTTCTTTTTCTTTCACAATTGTAAAATTTTTCCAAGTTTTGTATTTCCTTTATGTGCTCACAAAAGAAAAGCAGCTAATATGCAGGAAGTCATTCAGCAAAATTGTTATTATTCAAGGAGATAAAAACATCACTGTAGTGAGATATGAAGTAACTTTATATTAAAAGTTAATGACTTGGACTGTTCAGTCTAAATTATTTGTTATTTCCTAATCCTTGATATGCATCTTTATGGTAAGTTTATATGACGTGAGACTTATTCCACTTTTATATTTCCTTGTTTTGTTGTTCTGTTATTAAACTTTCTTATGTCATTGCTTTCTCTACTGAGGAAACTATCAAGAAAGTCAAACCAAAAGTGGAAAGAACATCCTCTAGTCATTAGATGTTCTCTGTACCCACATTCATAATTTTTCAGCAATCCAATTTCTACCTTAAATAAACTTTCTGTCTTAAATCAACACTCTAAATTAACGTCATTGGTTTCCTAAAATGATTTGTAATTGCTTAAATTGTTTATAAGTAAACAAAACCTGTTCCCACATTTAGGTTGAATGTTGGGATTGGCTAGCTGAAATTTTATTGGGTGTTTTGAAGAACTCTTTGGCAGTTTTAAGCTTGAATCACACAGCAAACCTTCCTTGCTGTGTAGGGGCTGCAAAGGCCCTCCCTGGTCCATGCCAGCCCCTGCTGCCCCCCTCATGCAAGCTGTCACTTTGCTGCTCAGGTAGCAGTGGATTCTAAGATGAGGAGGGCTCTTCTGTTTTAAAAGAACATAAAATCGGTTGGTTTACAGTGAAAGCATGACCCCAAGAGCCAGACCCAACCCCATAAGTGCTGAACAGCTTGAACTGTGCTGCATCTTAACAAACACAAGGGAGCTGCCAGCTGAACTGTGTTCATTGCTGAGGAGGGGAAAAGTGCTTTTAACAAAATTCACCTTCTTTCTCACGCATGTTGGAGAAAACAAAATAAAAGGCCTCAGGATTTGTAACCAGAGTGTAGAAAATCAGTGCTGCAGACAGTGCTGCTCCTTGCCTTGCACTACAGCTGCTGGTGCCCATGTAGTGTCCTCCAGCCCAGGTGAAGGAAACTCAAACTCTGAGTAAACTCTGAGAGGCAATATCACAGCAGGAGCTACCAAAACCAAAGTGCTTATTTCCTGATCTTACTGACAGCAAGGAAAGGAACCATCTCACATTTCTTCTCTTCCAGGGTAGCAGGGTGCCAAGGTGGCTCAGGAGGGAAGGAAGAGGCCACTGTGCCATGCCATGTGCTGTTTGGCACTGCAGCCAGGAGCAGGGCAGAGGCTGCAGGAATGCTGGAAGGCTGCACCCTGCAGGAAAAGGTGAGGAAGGAGTCGTGTGGAGTTAGTGACTCACACAGTTAAGGTTTGGTGTGGCTGTGGCAAGATATCAACATGATTTTACCATAAAAGGGGCAAATATGTAATTACTGTGGTATATGAGATTCAATTAAATGGCAACATCAATTAAACAGCTTCCAGAGCGTTTGTTTGGAAGCTTGCAAGGCTTTATTTCCTGCAAAAGCAGTTCATTGAGTGTCAACAATTATTTCCCCTGCAAATGAGACTGATTGCACAGCAGAGACTGTAACATTCTGGGCTTCTGTTGGAAAGCTGGGTTCAAGTCCATCCTTTGGTGAGTATTTAAGCAGAGTAGCTTCAGCAGGAATGTGAATGAATAGCTTGGACAGAGCATAACCTTGGAAATGCTTAGTGCTCATCAGGCTGGAGGAGAGTGAACTCTGCAGGAGTCCTTGGACTCTCATTTGCAGAGCCTGTTAGTTATGATGGGGATGGTTTCTTTCAGATTTTGATCAGATTTTTTTTCTCTGGCTGGAGAAGGAATTTCAATTTAGTGGCAGGAGAGCAGAAAACCTTTAAGTGAACAAGCCCCCCTCCTAAAAGGATGACATAGAGACAATTTGCAGTGTCCCTTTCAGAGAACGCCTTGGCCCTGTGTTATTTCATTTGAAGTGTTTCGTACTGATGAGTTCATCAAAACATCAATACCACAGGTTTTGTTGGCTCTGAGACCACAGCCATTTCCTGGAAAGCCTCAGCCTTCACCCCAAACATCTGACAGCAGTTTTGCCATACACAAACACTCTCCATATCCCTCAAGGAAAGCACCTGTAAGCAGCACAGATGGCACCACTATTCCAAGCTGGCAGTGGACCTGCTCAGGGCAGTTTCCCTGTAGTGATGATGACTTTGCTCAAGCCCAGCTGAAGCCACTGCTCCGGTCCAGGTCCCAGGCTGCCCTCCATTGTCACATCTCTCTGGCCTTCCATAACTCCATCCCTCTGTCCCTCTACCCCTCAGTCCCTCTGTCTCTCCTTCCCTTGGTCCCTCCATCTTTCCATCCTTCTTGTCCCTTCATTCCTCATTCCCTCCATCCTTCTGTTTCTCCATCTCTCCTTCCCTTCTTCCCTCTGTCCCTCCATCCCTCAGTCTCTCCATCCCTCTGTTCCTCCATCCTTCCATCCTTCTTGTCCCTTCATCCTTCCTTCCCTCCATCCCTCAGTTTCTCCATTTCTCCTTCCCTCCATCCCTCAGTCTCTCCATCCCTCTATCTGTCTTGTCCCTCCTTCCTTCCATCCTCCTTGTCCCTTCTTCCCTTCACCCCTCTGTCCCTCCATCCCTCACTCTCTCTGTCCCTCTGTCCCTCCATCCCTCAGTCTCTCCGTCCCTCTCTCCCTCCATCCCTCAGTCTCTCCGTCCCTCCATCCCTCACTCTCTGTCCCTCTGTCCCTCTATCCCTCACTCTCACTCTCTGTCCCTCCATCCCTCACTCTCTATCCCTCGGTCCCGCTGCAGTACTCACCTCCCACCGCTAGGCCGCGCCAGCCCCATGGTTGCTATGGCGACGGCGGCGGCGCTCCGCGCGCATGCGCGCCCATAGCCGGTGTTTCCGGCGGGCCGAGGCGGCGGCGGCGGCGGGCGGCGATGGAGCGGTACGGGCCGGGCTCCGTCAGCGCCGTGCCCGTGGCCGAGTTCAGGCCGTGAGTCCCGGGGCGGCCGGGAGAAGGGCTCGGGAGCGGGAGGGCGCGGCGGTGGGCGCGGGGAGGGCAGCGCGCCCGGCTCCATCAGCCCTCGCTGGGGCTGCAGCCCCGGGGAGGAGCGGGAGGGAGCGGGGCTCGGGCCCGGAGGAGCCGGAGCGGGAGGAGGAAGATGAGGATGAGGAGGGCCCCGGTTGGCCTGGGTCACGCTGTGTAACCCCGGGCCACCCCCAATGCCGAGCGTGGCGGCTGCCGGCCGTGGGGACACGTGCCGAGCTCGGCTGAGCTTATACACGAATGTTTGTTTTTGCCGCGTAGGGAAGCGATGAGAGTATGTCAGTGTAAGGACAGTATTTGTCAGCAGTGGAGTTTTTAACTTTGCTAATAAGCTGGAGGTCATCTTACTCTTCTGTGGGTAAGTGTTGATAGAATGGTTTCTAATTTCCCCAGGGAGATTTTGAATGCGGTTTTGTCCTCCACCCTGACAGTCCTTCAGGCAAACACTGATAAAGGAAAAGAATTCAGATGTTTTTCTCTTTTAAAGCTGTCTAAATGTATGGCAGTACATGAGGAGCCAGCAGGGCTGTTGGCTGCAGTGTAGAAGCTGTGCATGGCTGCACATAGCTGTTAGAGGATAAAACCATTTTTTCCCCATTTCCAATTCTTTTTTCAAAGAAAAACACATATATTTGTGTTTCAACGCCCTAAGTACTCATGTCTTTGAACGAGGCAATCTTTGAAAGTCAGAAGGGTATTGCCTGGGTTACATGTTTACTTAATCATAAAATACTGCAGTCAGCCAGGCAGAGTGAGTGAGAACTGGTGGAAACACACAGAACCAGGCTGTGTGTGGTGTTTTGTAAA